TCTACTTCTTCTGGTCTCATAGTCATATAGGCTGTGGATCTCATCGTGTACCAGTCAGTAGGACTAATTGTTTCCATGCATCTTTGGTTTTGTTCATTCTTCTTTGCTCTGGATGAGGAGAGACCCATCGTTGTGTGTAGATGGCAGCTTGCAAGATTTAAGGTCCCAGTTGCTACTCGCCAAAATAGGAGGTGGAACAATATTTGTGTAGTATGTTATGCCAGTTGAGCTTGATGGTCCTGAGACCACAGGTTTAACTACTGGGTCCCTCTGGGTAGCTGGCTACGACCAAGAAGTGACTACAACTTTGTCCCTTGTCAGCCCTACTATATGCCTGGGAATTCAAATCATACAAATACAGTTATAGGACCATTGTCTGCGAACCCTATACATGGTCTTGGGTACACTCCCTGCTTCATGGACATACCTAATAGTTCAACCTGTCCACCCATATACCCATGTTTTTGGCAGACATTCTTTACTTGTTTAATTAATGGGGGGCTGAAATTCTTAGTTTAATTTAAATGTGGGTAGCCACGTGGCCAGTAGCTACCATATGTGACAGCACAGCTGTAGGTAGTGGTGAGGATTTCTCAGTATTTAAGGACTTAGCTCTTGTAATTATGTGGAGTCTGGGTAGGGGGTCTCATCAGGAAAAATGTTCAGTGAGCAGTCTCTTGTGCACTGTTAAACACTTTGCTTTTCGGACATGCCTGGTTAAAACTTGAGCTGTTCCCTGTGGAGGTGCCTGTTGTGTGTTCTGCAAACTGTGAGCCGCATGGTTATCTTTCAGCAGATTAACTGAAAGCCTATCTATGGCAGGGCTCAATTGTTCGATGATCTGCGCACCCTTTGTGCAGGAACAGGGAAAATTTGTGTTATGACAATGGCTGACAAAATGTTTAATGAAAGCTGCAATTGGCAGTAACTAAATTCCCTGAGGTTTCTTTCCTCCCCTCTTTGCTACTGAAAGGTGCAGAAATGCTTTTGACAGCATCTGCGCTGCTGACAGATAAATTGTTTTGACAGGAGAATCTGAAACCTTCAACTGAAGAGAAATTCAGATGTTGGGCCTGGTAAGGGGTGGTCATATTTGTAGAAATAAGTGAGATGCTTTAGATTTGTGTGCATGTCAGCTGCCACCTGAAAGAAAGGCCTCCTTAAGGCTGTTTCCCTGATTAACCCTTTGAGGGTTCTTGGAATCTGAGGTGAGAATTGACATTCCTCTCTACAGAGCTCTGGGAAAGAACTTAATTGTTGAGAAATTGAGTATTGTTACTTAGTATAGTAGTCAAAGGGTGGAAAAATAAACACTAAAAATTATATTGGGAGTTTGTTTTTCTGAAATGGGCGAACAAGATCGTCTGAGGATTGTATTTTGGATTGTGTAAATATATACATATATAAACCCACATTCACTGCCATCAAGTCCGTTCCAATCATCTGAGGGTTGTATTTTGGTTTGTGTAGTAAGTATATATATATATGTATATATGTGTGTGTGTGTGTGTGTGTGTGTGTGTATATATATATATATATATATATATATAAACCCAAACTCACTGCCATCTAATCATTTCCAACTCATATAGACCTATAAGGGAGAGTAGAACTGCCCCCTACATTAGTGAGGCTATAAATCTTTATGGAAGCAGACTGCCTCCTCTTTCTCCTGTGGAGCAGCTGGTAGGTTTGAATCATTGACCTTTTGGTTAGCAGCCAAATGCTTTAACCACTGTGTCATCAGAGTTCCTATCTATCTATAAATAATGTATTATATAACTATAGAAAATATGTAGCGACTATAGTAAATATTTTCCCCATTTCCTAATAAAAGCCATGAGGATCAGCTGCTTGTTCTAGGTCACAGGACTTATTTCACGTGCTTAAAAGTTTGAGCAGCTCTGTGTCCACCAGTCAAAATGTTGCAAGGGACCTGAGCTTCAGCCCCTGTCTTTTCTTTGTCTTGCTAGTAGGTACTCTGAGGGGGAAATTCTTTGAAGACAGCCAGCGTGCTGATCCTCATTTTTTATACGTTGCTTTTCTGGTTCATCAAAAGTAGAAAAGTCACTATATTCAGACTTAGTGGGAGCTTAAATTTTCATTCACAAGTATCTTTATTTTCTGTTTGGTGGAATCTCACCATTAAGTTCTGATACTGATTATGCAAGACTCTCAAGTACCAGCCGTTGTCCTGTCCACTCCAACTTAGGGCAACTCTGTGTGTCAGAACTGTGCTCCATAAGGTTTTCATTGGCTGATTTTTCAGAAGTAGATCTCCAGGCCTTTCTTCTGAGGCACTTCCGGGAGGACTTGAACCTTAATCCTTTCACATTTAGCAGCTGAGCACATCAATATTTGCGCCACTAGGGACTTTTGTTTCAAGGAGACTTATCTAAGAAGAAGAACTTGTACAATAGTTTTGAAATTTAAATTTTGTCTGTTCCTTAAGGGAGAGACCAACCAAAGCATGTCATAATTTAAAATGATTTTATTCTAATACCCAGTTGCTGAGAAATATGGACACTGGTGGGATGGCAAATGAGGATGTGGTTTTATTCCAGGTAATTAAAAATGGAGCCACCAGTTAATTGCCTGAGACCCAGACCTATTGAGCAGCAGCTCCAGCCCTGGCCACATGGATGAGCCAGAAACAGATTGTTCAGTTTGAACCTTAATTGCCTCAAGAGTTGGAGGCCTAGAGCAGAGGTTGAAAGCTGGCAGTCTTTAGGCCAGTTGTCCACAGATATGTTTTGTTTCGTTCACCCAGGGTTACTCCCCCCCCCCCTTTTTCCTTCTAAAGAATTGAAAGATGTCACATAAGAATCCAGATGGTGAGCTTTACTTGAAAAAGAAGATGATTGGTCTATGCTGGCTCTCGTTTGTAGAGCCAAGGATCACGTACCCCTGTGGGTGGGTAGACACCATTGTATTACCCTAATTGTACATCTAGGAGGGTCACCATCCATTTTACTTGCTTGCCCCTCTGGCTCTTGCCTTGTGGTTTCTGGGGGTCTTTTCCTAAGGTCTCCTGCAGCTCAACAACTTGCATCACTGTGATAATGTGAAAGTTAACAGTCACTGTTAACTCACAGAAACTTTAGACACAGGAAACAATATTCCCCTCTCCCATTTTTTTCCCGTATGATAATGTGCTAAAATAGAGGAAGAAAATTTCTGTCTGTCTCTCAGTTTGTGAATTTTCTTTCCCAGGTTTTGCCGGTTGGTTTCTGTGCACTCATTAATAAATATCCCCAAGCTCAGACAAGCTCACACTTGATTTCAATATGTGGTTTAAAAAATTACTACCTTCAATCTTTATAGTAATATAATCTCTGGACAAATTGCTTTTAATTCAGCCTGTGCCATGAACACAGATGTGCCATTAGTTTTGAGTGTAGTTTGACTTTTATTTAGATGAATGTCTTTGAGTTCACAGTGAATGGCTATTAGCTTTAGCCATTGATTTAAATGTCTCTAGAGTAAGTTTAAAAGACACTTGCCGCTTACGTGACACTGTGCCCCTTCAGAGACAACTGTAAACTCATGATTGGCAATACTGTTAATTGGCAGTAATGTACAATGGAATTAATAGCTAAAATGAAAAATAACCTCTTCAGCAAACACAGGCCTGGGTGTACTTTGGTAGCAAGGAGCAAGGTGCTGTGCAAAATAAGTTAGGGCCTGTGTGGATCAAATCCTTATGGATTCTGTTGCTGAGAGAATCAGCTGGTCTGGATTGAGAGTGTGACCAGAGAAGCTCAGCTATGCTGACATTGCCCTTGAGGGTATAGCTTGGTAAGGAAGGGAAGAGCCAAATGCTGTTGTCTTAAGAATGGTGGTCACATGTAGACAAATACTGTCACCTTCAAAGGCTGCTTGTGTGTGAGGTTTTTTCTGCCTTTGGCTGGTGAACCAAAAACTCGTTTCTGTCTAGTTGTTTCTGACTCACAACGACCCTTGAGGACCGAGTGGAACTGCCCCACCGGGTTTCCAAGGCTGTCGTTCTTTAGTGAAGCAGAATGCCTCATCTTCCTCCCGCAGAGCTCCTTCGCAGCCCTTGACCGCTGGTGAACACCACCATGAATTTCCAGTGACTGTGGCTCCTCTCTTCTGTGTGATTATCATTCCCCATGTTTATTCACTGATGGTGGGCATACTGTGGCAAAATACAATTACAATTCAGGATCTTCTAGTGTTTACTTTCTAAGCAATCATGTGAATTTTGACTGTACACTTAAGCAGCTTTTAGCCTTAGGTTCTTCTTTAGACCAGAATTTCTCAACCTTTAAATGCCACTATTGGCATTGAGGGCTGGGGAATTCTTTACTGGAGGGGTTATCTTCCTGTGCATTGTAAGAGGTTCAGCAGCATCTTTGGCTTCTATCCCCTGGATGCATATTAGCACACCCTCTCTCCATCCCTACCACAGTTGATACAACCAAAAAAGGTCTGCAGACATTGCCGTATGTCCCCTGGGGAGCGTAGTCATCACTGGCTGAGCACCACTGGTTTAGACATGAAGGGTGGGTCTCTCCCCTTCTCTTTTCTTTTGCCACTGCTTGATGTTATTTGATGCTTCAGTAAAACATTAATTTAAAAAAAAATGCCATTAAGGATGGCCTTGGACTTGATATGGTGCAGAGTGTTCAGATCAGGACATTCTAATGTAGGTAGAGCACTGGCTCACCTTAGAATTGCTTGAAAAATTCTAAGTGGTGAAATGGTATTGATTGAAATCCATTTTGGTTTAGCCAACCTCAGGTGATTTGAGATTTTAGTAGCGGTGCTTTGAGTGACTGGTGTATGGATGTAAGTAGGTAGGAGATATATCTATAAATCTCATTATCGATAAGGTTACTTAAAATAACATGGCAGCAGGAACATTTCTGAGGGAGAGGGCTTGGTTGTTTTTGGGTGGGGGGCAGGGTAGATTCTTGAAACTTGGGTATAATGCCAAGTGTTGCTTTAATTTTTCTTTTCCTACTTCTTTTTACCAGAAACCTGAGTTACAACAAGCTTTCTGAAGTTGACCCTGCTGATTTTGAGGACTTGTCGAATCTACAGGAAGTGTGAGTGCTTTCCCTAAACCTCTGGGGGTGGGGATGGAAGGCCGTTGGGTGTGGAGAGCTTTTAGGAAAACCTTCTTACATTACAGTGTTACTCACTCCCCCAGATCAGCAGTGTAAACATGTTGGAAGGAACACTGCATATGGATTGTCAGTAGCAACTCTTACCACTTCCTTCCCCCACTACTTTACTGCAGTGTGCTCTTCTTCCTAGGCAGGCAATAAAGAGCGTGTTACAACCCAGCTGGTGTAGAGTTACTGGAAACCCTGGGTACATGGTGAGCATATAAGGAAGCCTCTCCCGTACGGGAGACTAATGAAGTTCACATACCTGGGCTGTACTTTTCCCGGTTCCCAGGGAAATAGAGCAGCCTTCTTAGCAGTGGCATATGAAGCTAGCCCACCCCTTCTGTTTCCCAAAGCAAAGATGTGCAAGATTGGACAGTGGAGACTTACCTTTACCTTCCTACCTTCAAACAGAGCTGGGCATTACTGCTTTGGAAGCTCTTGGCTTGCGGCCCCTTGTAGTGCCGTTTAAATCAGGCCAAAATCTTTTCTTCTTCTTTGTTTTAATGTAAAGAATTCTGCCTTTAACATGGCTATTACTATTATTAGGAATTTTATCTCCAAAGAGACTGTATAGAAACTTTTATATAAGCCATGAATAATACCCACTGTAGAAAATTTGGAAATTGTAGAAATGTATAAAGACCAAATAAAATCACCAATATTATCACCCAGATATAATCATAGTGAACACTTGTGAAAAATTTGTACTAGTGCACATATAACTTTGGGATCAAACTCTGTGTATGATGGTTTTATATCTTGTCTTTCCCTATTCTTTAAATTTTTGAACAGTCTATCATGTCAATTAAAAATTTTTGCTTACCATTTAAATATTTTTGTAAAACTACTGTTGTTGTTGTTATGTGCCATCAAGTTGGACCCGACTCATCGTGACCCCTCCTTGGGTTTCTGAGGCACTATGGAAGTAGATTGCCCCACCTTCCTTCCGAGGAGTGGCTTTTGGGTTTGAACTGCCAGCCTTCTGGTTAGCAGTCAAGTGCCTTAGGCACTTTATTCACCCATCACCTATTGTTAGATATTTTTATTAAAAATTATTACATACTTCTTTTATACCTTGTTATTATTGAAAGTAACAAACAATTCTTGTTAGTTATCCTTTGATTCCATTGTTGATGATTTATCTAAAGAAACTATTTCATCAGCTGGTACAAGTTGCAAAATGCTTGCATTCCTTACCTCCATCTACAAATTCTTGATTTGGCTTTTATAAGTTTGGTGTCTGTTTTAAAAAGGTATAAAATTCCAAAGCTAAAAGAACCTCAGAGTTGAAAGTGCCTTGGAAATACTTTATCCAAGGGCCTCATTTTTTGACAGAGTTATCAAGCCAGTGATGGGGGAAGGAGATATGAAAAGGATCACCCAAGATGACCAACATGGTCCGTCAAAGAGGCCAAAGGTTCATAATCCAGTGCTTTCCTCTACTCCAGGCTGTCTTCAGTTCTTGTGATTGAAATATTCTACTTCAGTGTGTTAAGTCTCAAAGCATAGTGATTTCCTTTAGAATTGAATGAGATGAAACTTGGGATCCTTCTTCTGGCATCATTCAAGCTACCATTTAGCATTTATTTGAGCGCCTGCCATGTGCCAGACACTCCTGTAGGTGCTGGGCGTACAGTGAACAAGACAGATAAATAGGGCTGGGACCACAGCAAGGCAAGGGAGGCACTGGGCTTGGGTGCAGAATATCAGACAAATATTTTAATGTAATATTTAAAAAATCAAAATTAATGCCCCCCCCAAAACCCTACATGATGAGCAAAAATAACAAAAATTTAAAGACAGTCTGAGTATTACTGATATTTCTTTTTGCCTCAAGCTCTTTCAGTATGCATGGCACCATTGCCAATCCTTTCTTTATTTAAAATTTTTCTATTTTGTTCATGCTAGATTAAAAAAAATACAGCACTCAAATATTCCTGATCTTTAGCTGCTGTGTTTTTTGGCAGCCCCTTAAATTTTGTGCCCCTTTTCACCTACACCTATCCCTGAAGACAAATCTCTCCTCTTGTATAGTTTACATGAAAGTAAGACATGCACAAAACAAGGAAATCAGTAAGACTGACTGGTGGTTAGTGTTCTGGGGAAAATTTAATAGGGTAATGTTAAGTCTCTTTTCTTTTGTAATTTTGGAGATGCGGTAACTGAGCTAGGGTGGTCAGGAACGGGACAGTTGAGCAGATGTGAATGCACTAGACAGGGGGCTCCAAGTATAAGGAACTCAAGGCACCACCAGGGTCAGCTGTCTTGAGTGAATGAAGGATGAGGGGATGTGATCAGGGTTGGGATCCTCTAGGGCCCTATAGGCCATGATGGATTTTATTTTCAGTCATCATTGGACCCCTCTCAACTGAGAATTATCCACTAAGCTGCCATCAAGGCACAATAGTTGCTCTGGTGAGTATTTTTAAGTGTTGTTCTCGCTAACTCCCTTGTTCCACCAGACAGGCTTTTAACTTTGTTTGGCTCCATTGACCCTCCAGGCTGTAGTTGTCTTCTCTCTGTGCTTTTTGGAGTTTATGCTCCTTCCAGGTAACAGAACTGAAAGCGTCTGATTTCTTCCTGTCCTTGGGGATGTTGGTTGTGAGCCTTAAAAATTTTATTTTTTTTTGGGGGTGCATAATAGCTGTCGTAAGCATAGCACAGTGTGCTAAAACTTTTGCAAATATTACCTCATTTAATCCTTGCACCAATTCTATGATCTAATTACTAGTCCCACTTTACAGAGGAGGAACTTCGTGAAGCTTAGAGAGGTTAAGTAAACTTATGCAGTGTCACATGGTGGAGCTGAGAGTTGAGCTCAAATCTGTTTGATTCCAAAACCTATCCATAATATGAGGGTGCACTACTTTGAATCTTTATATTCCTCATCTTAACCCCCAACATTAAAAAAAAAGAAAACCCATCCTTTATCTTCTTGTACCAGTATTTCTACCCCAGTCTTCTCTTTCTAGTACATAGTATTACCTCTTCTTCCTCCAGACCTATTACTGAAATCCACACCATCCTTCACATGTGTAGCCTTCCCTCACCCCTCATGACTTTTCTCCCACCTCTGAACCTCTCCTCTGAACCTCTTACATTTATAGGCAGTATTATGTATTTAGTGCCATGTCATGTTCTTTCTGTTTTGTGTAAATACTCTTTGTTCCTGCTGTTGCACTCATGAAAATTTATAATAAGCTAGCCATTGCTCTAAGCACTGTACTCATTATTAATATCTCTCTTACCTTTTTCAGACAGTGGAGAAAGAAGCAAGGCATAGGGCTTTGTTGAAATTGCACAGCTGGAAAGTGGTAGTGGTCTGAACTCCAATCTCATACTCTCCATGGCAACACTACTTTCCTCAGTGTAGGAATTGTAAAGGCAGAGATCACATCTTCCAGATACAATATCATATATAGTAGGAAACAATCCTGGGTTTGAGTTCTGGTTCAAACTCCCTTACTGGGTCTGTGTCCCTGGACAAATTACTTAGCTCCTTTGTGCTTCTGTTCCCTCTCCTGTAACGTGGAGATGATAATACATTATCGGGATTATTTTATAATCATTAGTTGGAGATGATAGACATAAATGCTTAGGGCCTGTTGCATGCAAAGGGCTCATTTAATGTTATTTCTCTTTTTCTTTTTCTGCTTACAGAACCACATAGCCCCCAAACTGGTACATTATTAAGAAACAAATATTTGAAACCCTTGTCACTATGACTGCCTCCATTCCTTGGTGTCACACTCTGTCGTTTGGGATAGATGAGATGAATTCACTGATGCCCAGAGAAGTGGAACTTCTCACTGATAAAGATCTAGGCCTTAGTTTAAGGAAATTCTAGTAAGTTGTACAGGCAGAAAGATGCTATCAGGAGTGGGGAGGTGGAGAAGTATATTGAAGAGAAGAAAAAAAATCATAGTTGACACACAATTACTCCTAAATTAACTAGGCTCAAGTGTTCCCCAGGAGCTGTCAGTTCCCCTAAGCCCTGGAAACCTCTGCGAAAGAGAACCACAGGCTGGCCAAGCAAATGAATGGTGGTTTTACAGTGGTTTTATTTTGGAGGCCCTGAACCATGTAACATCATGGCTGGTTGAAAAGAGAAAGCAAGCCTTGGGAGGCCCCTGGAGAATATGAGGACACTTGTGCAGCTGCTTCCAAGCCACACTGTTGTCACTGCCCTCAGCTCTGAGGAAAGCCCGCCAGGGGGTGTCTCCAGTGAGGGGTCCTGGCTGGAAAAGCTCCTCTATTAATAAGAGGGGCTATTTATATATTCCTCTTTAAAAATGGATCAAGTTACTGGTGCCTGGCCTGTGAGCACTTGATGTGAGTGTTGTGTGCTTTCCACGGGCATTGACCTAAAATGTTCCTGAAGGCAGTGAGTGAGAAATCCTTAAGTGTGCCCTACTCTTGGGTATTTATGGATCCCTCTCCTATGTCTCAGGTGTGTGAGGGAGTGAGTGATGGTAGTATGTTTAAAGAAAGGGTGAAATAAGTGATGTAGTTTTGAGGCACTGTTTTATGGCTATTACCACCATGTATTATGCGTTTACTTTATATCTGGCTATAAGCTCTTAGGTTTAATTATTTCAACTGAATCTTTCAACAGCCAGTGAGGTTAGTACCTGTATCATTTACATCTTTTTGGAAGAAAAGGCTAAGGTATAGCAAGGTTCAGTGACATGCTGAAGATCATTTGATTGGTAAAGGGTGGAACTGAGATGGAAAGTATCTAGGTCTGTCTAGATTAAAAATCCAAGCTGTATAATTCCCGCTCTGCTGCTCTGTAACTGTGCCTCATTTTCTTCTTTTAAGGTGAGGGTGATAATTGAGTACCTTCCTAAAAGGCTTTGTATGTAATTCAGTGAGTTACTACTGTCTATAAAGCACTTAGCAAAGAGCCTGGCATGGAGCAAGCATTAGACCTT